TAAAGTTTGTTTTTGTTTGTGCGCGTTAAGGGTTAGGGATGAAACACGCCTCTAAATAGATATAAGAAACGCAACTATCCACACTATCCATACCAATACTATAAATGCAAAAGTTTATCTATCTGTTTGTTGTTTTTTCTGTGGTATTTGTTAGCTTTTCACGATAAACGGCAGAACGAATCTTTATGCTATTTGATAAGAAGATAGATGGTTTCACGAGGGCGGGCATAGAGTATCTTTTATCTCAAAAGATAATCATTAAAGGCTGAAATAGGGGGTGAAAGCTTGGGAAGACGAAGCCGCGGGTAGTTACACAATATTAATGGATATTACTGTATTTTTTTAACTTAATTAAATTGGTTCATTTAAAACTGTTGTGTATAATTTCATTGGCTCGGTATCTTCGAGACTGTCCTGTATTACTTCTCGTAGTCATTAAATCCAGCAAATTATTGGGGTGCTTGTGTTTTATGGCGTCGAATAAGGAAGTTCAATAAACGCACCATTTTATTAACATGTGTAAATGTCATATCCGCAGTTACTATTGTAGCTAGCATTTGTAGATATTTCTTTACTAGTGACCCTCCCCGACATCGCCTGAGCGTTTTAGCCAGACGAGTAGACTATTATTATTTAAAAAAACTAAATAATTATATGTATATTTTCGTACACGGTTGTATAAATTTAAAAGGATTAGGCTCATGCAATTTGTGTATTGCGTTGTGTTGTGTTGTGAAATAAGCTATTTGCATATTAATAGCAACGGAGTCACATATAAAAAGAAGTATCAAAATAATACATATAATATATAAATATTTCTAAAAAGAATGATGGTCAATCTGCGAGTAACATGTAGTTAATATATATTATACAGTGACAGCTGTGGAAAAATGTACCTTCAACGCAAAATTAAAGGTTAATATTTAGCTGTTAATAAATAGTTCTAGTATAAATACATCAAAATTTCGTAGAAGAACCACGTTTTACGTAGGCAGTGTGATTTTGTCAAATTAATTGTGGAGAAACCGAGAAATGTCTCATCACGCAACGGAATTAATTTAAACTGGGTTTCTCATGTACATACATAAAATACATATATTGTGTTTAATCACGTTTGACGGTATTAACATCATTAGTGTCATGAATACAAAATTAAACGAATTTATATGTCAAATGTCAACGCGATCCTTGATTTTAAGTATAACTCTATATTCTATAGTGCTTATTTAATTCTTTATTAAGCAACGTTTCAGGTCTAGTGGTTTAGCACATCGCTTTACTTCCGATGGCCGTGGATTCGATTCCTTGCACAGTACAAACATTTGTATTAATGAGTAGGATTGTTTATGTCTTCTATTAAAAATGTATCGATATATTTATATCAGTTGTTTAGTACCCATAACATAAGCTTTGCTTAGTACTAAATGCCGCTGCGTGTCTTGTTCTGAGATAATATTATATTAATGTATGTTATTTGCTAATACTCGTAAGCAGTTTGCTATCAGGTAAGAGGTTTTCAAATACGTTCACATACAAAAAACAAATCTTTCCGTTTTATAATATAGTATTAAAAAGGATAACAAGATTTCCAAGTCCGGATAATTCGGCAGAGTTGCTTCGAATATTATTAGCAGTATACCCATACCAATTCAATTTTCTTTAACATGACATGTTGACAAATGACATTTACTCATTACTTGGTCGTCATCCTATCAGATCGAATTTCAACTTAGTTCCTCAAGTTATATCCTGGTGAATTCACCACGATGACCTCAGATAGTTCATATCTACCTCATTTCATATCACATCCGATTATACCAAACCATATCTATTCTATGAAAAAAACAGTTACTTCGTAAGAAACTGACATTACTATAACACTATAATACTTCATTGTAGCTTTGTAATTCTAGAATTCTAGTTGCTTCAGACTGAAGTTTAGGAGTGTGGAAATAGGTGTAAAACAATCCGTGTAAAGACGCTTTGTTGAAAAGTTGGGAATGCAGTGCATTTATAAAGGCACCACATATTGTTACCAAGTTATATTGTGTTAGACGTAGAATCTATAGCAAAACTACAAATGCCATATATTATTCCATCCAATTGACTTACTTCATTTAGCCTACGCGAAAAGGGGGAATATACCTAGATATAATAGTATAAGTAGCACAATGAACATACTCATAACATCATAATGTAACCTAATAGATATAAATGCACATAAGAGGTCATGTGCATTTTATACCTCTAAATATTGTAAATACACTATCATATCTTGCCCTCCAACCTAAACGATATAAGCAGCTTACAATTGGTAAGGGGATAGTTAGTAATGTGAACTGATCACCCCATTGCTAGCAATGTACCATGTCAGGTTGACCTTCACGCGGTGAATTTGTTACGATGTGATAACTAACCTGACCTCATGCTCATCTTATCATTCTCCACTGGTGCCCCGCCAGCTTAAACAGTTAGCACAGGCGAGTGCATCATTCCATTATCATCGCTTAAAAAAACGTAAATTTAGGAACCTCTCGCTTTAGAAATAAAAGTATTGAAAGAGATAGGTCAACGTTACTTTATATCGATATTATATCCGTCTCGATTTCAAGATTATTAGGTCTATATAACATCACGCTGCAACCAATAGGAGCCGAGCTGCAATGAAAAATATTGTAGATACGGAGAAAATGTTAAGCAGACTATATTCCGCGTGTCAGCAAGTTGAATATAAAAAAAGTCCTTATAAAGAGCAACACTTGAGAGTAAAACAACCACGATCAGGTCAATGTACTCTATGACGCACGTGGCGATACTTTTAATCAAGTGAATATTCTAATTAAAAAAAAATCGTAGGTATAAAAGATATTCTACTGCATAAACTTCATTGTCTAATTTTGTTTGCTGTGAAAATTTTCCTTTGTATGTATAGCGTAAACGAACACAAAATTCTACGATAAAAGTGGTCCTCGCTTGATTTTCCGGAAACGGAAGTATATACTAACATTAATCCGGACTCAGTAAATAGAAAAAATAGTGTATATTTTTGAAAAGCTGAATACCGTTTGGTCGGAGTTTAGCCAAATACATTAGAAATTTTCTATTCTATTTGTCTGTAATTTAGATTTGTTGTAGACGTGATAAGAGATACGTTAGAAACACTTAAAATAGTATTATTTATATTACAAACCTAAAATAAATGGGGGCTAGATGTTTACGTCACCGGATGAATTACAAAGTGACACACAAAGTTTTTATGTCATCCAGAATCGAACTTACGATCTTTCTGCGTAAGACGGGGTAGTAACCCATACGCCATAACGTTCACAAATACAAGCGAATCCGTAGAGTAAATGTCAGCTTACCGTATAAGAAAGAAAAATACATTTCTTTAGGATGTCGCACACACTCTTCAGAATAAAATTATGCCGTAACGAAGTGTTCGGAATCTATTTATCGGTACAAATCTATAATGTTGTTGGCAGGGATTTTTCGAATAGCGAAATATTTGTTCGCGACCGGATGTAGGTTTTATCAGCTAGATATATTAGTTTATCGATTTAATAGAATTTGTGACACAATCCTAGTAGGATTGTGTCACAAACGTGCTTATCTACAAGTAGGTATTTTCTTACAAAACTAAATGAGTACTACGAAAAACATTATTTTTATAAACCAAGTAGACTCTAGTTGGATTCTTTGACTATTCATTTGTAAATCTTCTATTTTTATTTATCATACAAAGAAACTTACGGCTCACTAGATAGTCAGTGATTACCGCCGCCCATGAACACTCGCAACATCAGAAGAATTACAAGTGCGTTGCAGGCTTTCTTGAAGGTTTCAATAACTTGTAACTCGCTTCGGAAATAGAATTGCCGGAAGGTGTTTCCACAATGTGGTCGTGGCAAAAAGTTTCTGAAAAGCCGCACAGTGGAGGACCGCCATTTATCTTTCACATTTTTATACATTGTTTTTATTATTTCTTGTATAATAGTTAGTGCTATAATATGCTAACCAGCAGTAAATAATTACTAGATGGAAATAAATTAGGTGTAATGTGACTAGTTCGCTAACTATCGACCACGGAAGTTTCCTAGAGGAGTTGTATAATAGATTGCTGGAAATTATGTAATCGACCCCATTATTTACAATTTCCCCTTCTTTTCCTTAATAGTAGATTTGAATAATGATTATTATGAATGATTTTGTTACTTAACCAACTATATTTTTTTTACTCTTATGAATTCATGCTATTTCTTACTTTGTATTGACGTAAAGATTGACTTTAAAATGTAAAGTTGCACATTTGTTTAAAAGAACTAACAGACAATTTGTTGCTCCTGTTTTTGACTGAACCTACATTCCTGGCTATAGGTAGAATAAAGAAATGACTATTCTGAAGTATTAAATTTATATTAAAATTCAAATATTTTTTTTTCAAATTCAAAATATCTTTATTTTTTTTTAATGTTGTACATATTTACAATAATACAGATTCCATTCAATTCAAATTTGGGAGAATAGAGTGACCACCAGCATATGCTATTGAATAAGAAAAAAACAAAAAATCTAATCAGTTCGCAACCTGAACAGACCAGTTCCCACAAGCAGCACCCGTTCACGAGTATGACGGATGAGCCAGCACCTCACTTGTATATTGACTATTTCTATCCTCTTTGACATTGTAAATAGCGTTATAAAGTGTTAATATTTGCCAAGGTTTTTTTAGATTAGAGACTATGAGGTTTATATTAAGGTTCCTTAAAAGTCTGCAACGTTCATGTAATATTCCTGATGTTTCATGTGCATCCATAGGCTACGTAACCGACTACCATTAGATGGGCAGCATGTTTGATTATTACTACAGTTGTATAAACGCAAGATTACTAGTGGAAATATTTGCTTAGACTCTAACAATGTTTCATTTAAATCGTACACGTGGAATGGTGTTAGGATGTAGTGCAATCTTTATGTTATCTTTTTTTCTTTCTTTCCAGGTGTTGGGCTCTGATACAGAATGGCACTTCGCGCACCGGGGACTTCCTCACGCGCGCCCCCGTCGCTCCATCGCACACTCGCGTCTACTCAAACAGCATCCACTTGTGAGTAAAAGTGTCAATAAAATCAGTACGGACGCTTGATAACTTAGCACTCAGGAAAGCAAGTACTACGAGCATCATAAATGCATTTTGTCATAGATGTGTTCATGTTCATATTATATGATATATTTATTTAACATTTTCTAATATAGGCTATAGGTTCCTATTGGTTCCTATAGGCTGTGTTATAGGTTATTATTGTAAGTTATTAGACTATAATAATAATCCTACAATTCACATCGCCATCTAGTTCCATGCTAAGCAGAGTGTTATGACTACTAGATAACTGGTACAAATACTATTACGTTCCATCTAATGTTTGGTTATAATATAGATAGTTTCCCGAAGACGAACACAGGCACATTTTTTTTTAAGATAAAAGAAACTTTTAAAAAAAAAACAAACAACGTCACAGGAAACAGCTACGTTAACAATACTCTTTTTATTCAACATCTTCATTGAAGATTATAACAAGCGCCTATTCTTTTTAAGTTTCTTTTATAGAAAGTACATTTTCACATACTTTCCTTTTGTAACGATCGTCACGGATACGTTCTGTTCGTGGAAAAAGACATGTACAAAGAAAAGTTCTTTAATGTTGTTCTCAGACAAAAAGTCCTTTGTTCGTTCAACGGCAACTGTGCCCAACTGAATTCTTGATCACGAATCTAGAATATCTTTACGCGTTCGACCATTCACAAGGGCGCTTATTCTGATAAATGACGGTCTTTGTAGTTACTTTTGATATTGCTTCCATATTATCGAATCAACCATTTTTTAAACCTGAAACTGAAAATTGCGACTTAAAAAAGTAATACTGTGATTTTCACTGGACTTTATTTCGCTTATTTCCAGGACACTAATCAAGTTACTGTAGTGGTATCTGTTTTTAAATTAACGTATAGTTATTTAGACTGTTAAATTTTACAGTCTAATTAACTTATTCACATTCATATTAAAAATCAGCGTAATTAGGTAACTGCTGAGGCAAAATAGTCTATATTTTTGTTATTTTTATAGTTTGGTAGAAATATATTTAGTAGAATAAGTACGAGTACTTAGAATCTCTATTGGAATTTATTGTTAGACATTTATTCTGAGATAGATATGTATGTATTATGCATGCATATTTATGTTATACAAACGTTGTACAGTAATATTTATAATCCAGATTTATAAATCACTCGTGCGAAGCCAGAGTGAGTCGCTAATTATAATATAATTAGCCAAAGTGTCCGTCAGATTGTAATATTTTCACAACTACACGACTGAAAAGGTTTTAATAAAATTCGTGAAGATACATTTTATATATTTTTTTATAAGTGATATAAGTCGGCGGTAACACCTAAATAAATAAGTAACAAAATAAGTCAGGCATATACATCAAAGTTGGTTCAAAGTAAGCAGTAAGGTCACTGTTGAAGTACTTTTCAACTTGACCTGTATTCGCCGCTGGTTGATCAAGTCTGAGTGAAACGTTGAATAATTGAAACGATAAGAGCAGCTCAGAAAATCAATTATCTCATCTACTCCACTTACAGACAGATCTTGTTATTTCAATAAAGAGGTACTGAAGCGGTTGAAACAGGACAACCTGTAATCGGAGAACTATGCTTTTGATGGTATAATTGTAGGGAATTTACAATATTATACTTGTTGGCTTTGATAAAGTTATAGGAATGTTGACTTTACACAATAATATTAGTTACACTACGAAACTAAAGTCTGCTATTTATCCATTAGGTAACATAAGTTGGCCGCAATATTTTTTTAAATACAAGTACAGAGCCTATGTCAGGTTATAAGTAACACTTGACGTTAGACTTCATTAATACAAATAATAATTTAGCCATGCAATGGTACATAAACATAAATAAACAAAGGAAAACAAAATATTTTCCTATTGTATTAATACAAACATATGACTGTTCCACTTTATTGTATCTATAAACGCGGCTAAAACCTGAATAATATAAAGCTAGTGAAATGATTTCATGCTAATAGCCAACCTATTGGAAAGCAGTAACCGGTGATCTATATCTTAGAACAGCTTCACAGACATCATAAAATATACTGTGACACATGGAGGCAGCCATTCTCGAGGACTAAGGTGATACGTAATTTCGTGGTCATATCTCAAAATGCAATAGTTTGCAAAAGAAACCGCAGGCAGTAGATGAAACAGAGGTGAGATGACGCGCATAACATTGTACAAATACTGGAAAAGATAAGATGTTAAAAGATCTCACTTTCCCTTACATTATTATATATACTCGTAAGATACATCGTTATATACACTGCACAAAGAGACAACAGTACAGACATAAGTTAATATACTTACTAATAATAACCCAGGACAAATACTATAGCACCATTTAGTTCCTAATTAAGCAGAATTTGTACTGTGGGTGCTAAACAACGGATAGAAATTCTTATTTTTTTATAGGAACATAAATACATATAAGGCACCCATATAAATATAAACAAGTCTACTCTTCGTGGGTTGGATCGTTTTAACATATTATGCGAGAATGACTAGAGTATGAAATGGGTAGACCACAAACCAGTGAAATCTATACAATGACAAAAAAATTTGTTAAAAATATATAAAGTCTAGTAACTCTAGTTAAAAAGTTCTTTGTGACATTTGATATTCATTAATTATTTTCCACAATTTAGGTATTTCTTATAGTTAAAAACTCTTTCACTGACGGCAGCGTAACTTAATATTTCCAAACAAACTAGGTTATTTTTGACAAAAAAAAACAGATGTTTTTTTAAATATAAGTCTCATATTTACAGTAATGAATCGTTGCTAATTATGGAGGGACATATAGACAATATCTAAAAATATGATATATAAAAATAACAGCTCTAAAAATATATAGAACTCTTTTGATAATATTGTATTTAAAAATAACAAAATTATCAACTCTTTTGATAATTTTGTTATTTTCGTTGCGGTCGATCGCTAACAGAAGACATTTTTGACGAAAATAATATCGTATAGCCCAAGAGCCCACGACTGCCAGACATACGTCATTTTAATAAACGTGAAAGTTCTTGTATGTGTGTCCCCAACACAGGTAAGAACGATCCCCAAATATGAAACCTGGATCGTGGTTCCTTTGGCAGGTACCAGGTAACAAAGGTGTAAAAAAAATCATACCAAATTCGTTATTTTAAGAAACTCCATATTTTCATATATTGTTCGTAGCACTATTATAACTTGCGCTGCTCATTGCCAGACACGTAGTGTGGTTCCAACCCCCGCCGGACCCCCTAAACTATACTATTTTAGAAATAAACTTACGTCATTTTAATAAAGCTGAAATTTATATATATTATTGAGAGTTCTCTCAAACTGAGTTTCCTAAATTGCCAGACAGTTTTCTTGGTTCCTTATCATACCAGACTCATTGAAACCGTATATTGGGTAACAACGGTGTATACAATTTCATATCAAATTCGTTATTTTAAGATGCTCCATTTTTTCACATATTGCTCGTAACAGTATTATAACTTGCTCTGCTCGTTGCCAGACCCTTAGTGTGGTTCCAACCCCCCGCCGGACCCCCCCAAACTATACTATTTTATAAATAAACTTACGTTATTTTAATAAAGCTGTAATTTATATATATTATTGAGAGTTCTCTCAAACTGAGTTTCCTAAATTGCCAGACAGTTTTCTTGGTTACTTATCCTACCAGACTCATTGAAACCGTATATTGGGTAACAACGGTGTATACAATTTCATATCAAATTCGTTATTTTAAGATGCTCCATTTTATCACATATTGCTCGTAACAGTATTATAACTTGCTCTGCTCATTGCCAGACCCTTAGTGTGGTTCCAACCCCCGTCGGACCCCCCTAAACTATACTATTTTATAAATAAACTTACGTCATTTTAATAAAGCTGAACCTTATATATATTATTGAGAGAACTATTAAACTGAGTTTCCTAAATTGCCAGACAGTTTTCTTGGTTCCTTATCCTACCAAACTCATTGAAACCGTATATTGGGTAACAACGGTGTATACAATTTCATATCAAATTCGTTATTTTAAGATGCTCCATTTTTTCACATATTGCTCGTAACAGTATTATAACTTGCTCTGCTCGTTGCCAGACCCTTAGTGTGGTTCCAACCCCCGCCGGACCCCCTAAACTATACTATTTTATAAATAAACTTACGTCATTTTAATAAAGCTGAAATTTATATATATTATTGAGAGTTCTCTCAAACTGAGTTTCCTAAATTGCCAGACAGTTTTCGTGGTTCCTTATTCCACCAGAATCATTGAAACCGTATATTGGATAACAACGGTGTATACAATTTCATGTCAAATTCATTATTTTAAGATGCTCCATTTTATCACATATTGCTCGTAACAGTATTATAACTTGCTCTGCTCATTGCCAGACCCTTAGTGTGGTTCCAACCCCCCGCCGGGCCCCCCTAAACTATACTATTTTATAAATAAACTTACGTCATTTTAATAAAGCTGAACCTTATATATATTATTGAGAGAACTATTAAACTGAGTTTCCTAAATTGCCAGACAGTTTTCTTGGTTCCTTATCCTACCAAACTCATTGAAACCGTATATTGGGTAACAACGGTGTATACAATTTCATATCAAATTCGTTATTTTAAGATGCTCCATTTTTTCACATATTGCTCGTAACAGTATTATAACTTGCTCTGCTCGTTGCCAGACCCTTAGTGTGGTTCCAACCCTCCGCCGGACCCCCCCAAACTATACTATTTTATAAATAAATTTACGTTATTTTAATAAAGCTGTAATTTATATATATTATTGAGAGTTCTCTCAAACTGAGTTTCCTAAATTGCCAGACAGTTTTCTTGGTTACTTATCCTACCAGACTCATTGAAACCGTATATTGGGTAACAACGGTGTATACAATTTCATATCAAATTCGTTATTTTAAGATGCTCCATTTTATCACATATTGCTCGTAACAGTATTATAACTTG